GCAATATAATCGATGACTAAGGGCCTTTTTACATAAAGGAGGGAGGCCCCAGGTAGGTGAGGTAGCCCGCTTAGGTGGGGTAAAAAGAATCTTGCAACCCTTAAGATTATTGAAAAGTCGCTAAGCACGTACGCCAAATATGGCTTTCTATTGTCACTTTGAATGATGCAAAACCTCCGCCAAAGTTGAATTTGGAGCGAATTTGATATAACGCGATATAACACCAGGTTAGGCGGGTTACCCCACCTTGAAACATTTACATGGAAAAATGTGACCCCGGCTGAGAAGGCTACCCGGTCTGGCAGACCGAGCAACCTGCCTCGGTTGGTCACCCCACCATGCCTCTTGATGGATAAGCTATGTATGAAAAAAAATTGCGTAAGGCCTTGGGTGAGCTGATTGAGGAAATTTGCCAGTGCTGCTGAAGTGGAGGAGAGTGGGGAAACTTGCTTGCCCGTTGTCGAGTAAACTTGCGAGACGGGAACGAATTTGTTTGCAAAGGCGCCTGGAGAATTTCCCTGGGGACCGTAATGGGCCAATAGAGTGCCTTACAAGGGAGTATGCAGTTATCTCTACAGTGGCGGGTCCAGCCTCAAGGAAATTAAAACATAGGTGTTTTTTCAATTTCCCTCAAAAAGTCGAGGGGGGGTCTATATTTTGAGGATTAAGGGCTATAGCGACAAAACTTGAGTAAAGTAATAACTCTCCAAAGTTTATGTGATTCCGAGTAAAAGAATCTGTAAATTAGGTCACATGACTTTTAACGGCCATTTTGCGCGAAAAATAACTTAAATTAAAAATGGCACCAGTTTATAATGACAGCCAATCAAAGAAATTGCAACCAAACATGTCCCTGGATGAACGAATACACATCTGTGCCCGGGCTTTGTTGAATAATTTATTAAAAGTGTAAATAAACGGAATTTTGTATTAGTACCCAGTCCCTTTATCAAACGATTTTCGAATTTCGTTCCTGTCTAAAAGATCAACTTGTCCCACGCACAGAAATGATGTGCCCAGTAGTCTCACAACTATGACGATAACTGCAACTTCCAGAAAGTAATTTTAAAAGTGGTGCCATATTGCCAAATAGATTTTTGGGCTAAAAATAGCCTTAATAGCTCACGTGACAATTAGTGACGCCAATCATCATTCAAAGTTGTTAAACTTATATCCAGGAATTCTGTCCGTAAATTATTTTGTGCTATATTGAAAGCTTAAGAATTTAGACCACCCCCCTGTTTTTGAGGAATTAAATAGAAGACCCATGACTTAATTTCCTTGAGACGTTTACTGCAAACGGAAAACGTCAATTTGTTCCACGCGACTAAGTTTTTCCTTTAATTACCGTTTAGTTTTTATTGTATCTTGATAAAAACAAGTAGTTTCATGCCAGGTTGATCTATAGCAATTATTTTTGCACAGTTTTGATCTTTTCAATTTTTCTAATTTGAGAAACCGTTAACCTGAATCTAAGGTTTCTCGTCAACACGATCCTAAATCTCTCCGGAAAGAGGAATATTTTCTGTGTAGCCTGCAGACACGGACGTATTTCCGGTCGTCGCTGTGTCGGTAGGTTAATTTTTGTGTTCAAACTGAAAAAGCTAAAAGGAGTATATGATTTAAAAATATCTTGGGGCAGTTGTCGTAAAGTCTAAATTCATTGATGAATTGTTTCGAATAGTGTCAAGTGGGGCGATTATTCGAGAAATTAGGTGCTTCTTTAATATCTTTGCTGCAGTGATGTAAAGCGCTCACTGGATGGCCGTGTGTTTTCGAGCAAATACGGTACTTGAACATCAGTAATTTTTCTTTAATCCACCTTTTTTTACATTAAAATCTAACCTATACGGCAAAAAGCTTGTCCGTGTTGACGGTTATCATTTGAAAAACACGGGGTGTTTCGGTGAGTAGTGGTATACTGTGAAGCACTAAACAGAATATATCATCCTGATGTATTTGGCGTAAGGAAGGAGTGAGACAAGATTTCTTGCAATATGTATGGAAGTTCTCTGGTAGCCCTCGTTTCGACTACCTGTATGCAAACAAAGATGTCGAGCTAGGGCCCTCGAACGACATATTAAAGGATTCAGGTGTAACTGTCATGCGAAACTGACTTGACATTTCTGAAGATCAGCTGCTCTCGTTCTACGACAGCTGTGAGCAGATGTTGCATACAAGTTGTCCGGCGCTTAGGATTGCCTACAGTTGGGGTATCTTTCAAATACAAACTTGGAATAGGTGACGAGCAGTTTTTTCAAAGTTAGTTTGATACGGTAGAAGTACTTGTTGTGCGCCGACTAAAAAAAAAAAAGTTAAATTGAAATACGGTATAAATTATTGTCGTTTCCAGCTACTTCTGCGTGGAATTAGTGTGTCACCTAGGCCGAAATTAAAAGTGTTTAAGCCGCATCGCCAAGTTTTATTACAAGGTAAGCTTGCATTAGAATTGACTGGCGAAAATGTTAGTGGTAACCGTGAAGCACGCCAATTTTAGTCAACTTACTGTAACTGGAAGTCCACCTTTCTAGTTCGTTAATTTTTGACTGACATATACCCGCAGTTCATATGTGAATTATTGATTTAAACATACATTTTTTTCCTCCATCCATCATCATTTAGTATAGTATATTATGTTCGTAAAATGGTGTAAAATGAATTATTGAAAGGAAAACTCAGTGGCCAACCACAGCCATTGTTAATCTGTCGAATTATCGATATTTGACTTGTGAGGGTACGTGAAAACATTTAAATTCCCTCTATCAACCTATGTGTCACCCATTTTCATCCCTGAGACTCGCAAAAATATTGAAATTTATGGTAACTTTAAAATTTTCTTCCGGTTTTCTCTCACGCAAGCCAAATCTTTGGACTCGTAAAAAAATGCCACGTGTCTCAATACACTTGCCCATAGCAGGTTATCTTAATTCACTTTGCTCCAGCTCGTATGCAATAAATTCAAATTTATTAAACATTTACAAAAAGGATTTATTTTTGCTGAGATCACCAAAAAAAAAATTAAATGTCTAAATGCAAAAAAATTCATTTCGTTTAGCGGACACGGACATATATATTGTTGACACCGAGCGGAAATATCAGATGAACTATGACGAAGTTCGCTCTCGTCTTTTCCAGGGAATCAAGCTTTCTAGAATAATTCACAATTCAAAGAATGTCGAATTCAAATTCGTCGGCCGGCCAAGAGCAATCCCTGAGTAATTGTCAGAAATTTTTAAAGATTGATAGGGTTTCATAGTAATTGCCGGTCGGTGGGCGTGGCCAGCGATTATTTAATTATGAGGGAAGATGCCTCGATCGCGAAAAGTTCCTGTTTATAACTTTGCTCAGTTCGAGAGATTGAAGCTTGGACTCAGCATAGCATCTGTGTTATAAAATGAGGGGAAAGAAGGTGAGAATCCGTGATTGCTGCAAAGTGGCCTTTCGCTGGCCTCTAACTGTAACTATACACGCTCATGAAATACAACTTAAAATTGAAGGTAAGGCTGATCGGACAGCTAATGGTTACAAATTTATTTGCCCAATATTTCGACTAGACAAAAGTAGTCTCCATCAGGGGCTAGAAAAGCTAAGTGACAAGATCCGGCTTTCACTCGCTGCTGTTTGTCTAATTGGTCCTTGCAAGAATCGTTCGCTTTATATACAAACCGACCGAATACTTGAAAGACCACATAAAATCTCATTCGAAACATCAGTTTTGAGTCACACGTTGGTGATAAAGCGGACCTGATATTGGAGGCAGCTTTTAATCACCTACGGTCACTTAGTAAAAATTCACTGCTGAATGGCGAATGTTTCCTCTGATATCAGGAAATGAAGCATCCAATTATTTTCTGCTCTTTGAGCGAATCAATCAAGGTCGATAGTAATGAAAATTAAAGTCTGCCATTTTTGTTATTTTAAACCTCAATTACTACTTCGGATATCAGAGCAAGTAAAAGCAGAAAAATGTGCATTTCTTTTCACTTCCCGAACTTAAAAACTTAGAATCGCTTCCGGCGCACGGCCCATAAATTTTAGCTGCGCACCCAGAGGTTCTCATTGCTTGGTCATCAGGATCCTCTTACCTCAGGCTATCAATCCTAAGTACAAAAACAATTTCAACGGCAGCGACAAGGCGAGATATTTACACGAAAAATAATGTGGATAAACTCATTTCGAAAAAAAGGGCAGTTTGAAATCATGAGGATCCGCAAGCGACTTTTTTTTGCGATCAGCATGATTTCTTAGTTGCTACGGACGCTTTGTTTTCAAAAGGTGACAAGAGAATTTCCTGCTGTGGGAATTTAATTAGCACGTTAATTTCTGGCCAAAAAACGTAATCCGATAAGGTGTCAACCCACTACAGTAGTAATCCTTTTGAAAGCTCAGAACGCGTTCAAGATAGTAAAAACCAGATGAAAATACAACGCTATCCATTATAAAAATTAAAATAAAGCAAACTTAAAACAATTTTGCTTATAGTAAAGTGTATGCCTTGCAAAACCTTCAAGTTGCGTTCTAGATAATTTTTTGCCAGATTTCAGCACGAGGAATCCACGCGCCAGGACGCGCGAACAGCAATGATCAGGAAATAAAGCGGAAGAACGAATTGTCTTTTCAAAAATATATTTTCCCTTTCAAACTGAAATGCTTCAAGGCTAAACAAGATTTTGCCTATTGCGACTGGCCGGTGCTATCTCACGATAGCCGATCTGTAGCGACGACACGGAGTCGAGTGTAAATATTGAGCCGCTTTTTAGGCATGCGGTTGCCTGCAGTCTTTATTTATGCGTCGTAATGTCAAAACAAAGAAACAAATCAGCAAGTCGAAAAAAGGATTGTGCAAGTAAAAGTATAACCCATCCTACAATGGAATTAATTGGATTTTACTTTATATGGTATGCTTTTGGTATATCGCGCTAGATCTGCCACGATACTTTGTCAGAAGATTCCTGAGAGTGAGAGCCACGAGTGATGGCGGTGTACATGTGTGACGATCC